GGGGGCTCCTCCTGAAGTCCACTGTCATCTCCACAGTTTTGAGCCTGTTAAGCTCCAGGTTGTTCTGACCACCCCAGAGGACCAGCTGTTCAACCTCCCGTCTGTACGCAGACTCATCACCGTCCCTGATGAGGCCGATGACCGTTGTGTCGTCTGAGAACTTCAGGAGTTTAACAGACAGGTCCTCTGAGGTGCAGTCGTTGGTATAGAGGGAGAAGAGCAGTGGGGAGAGCACACACCCCTGGGGGGTGCCAGTGCTGAAAGTCCGGGTGCTGGATGTGATTTTTCCCAGCCTCACCTGCTGCGTCCTGTTAGTCAGGAAGTTTGTGATCCAATGACAGGTGGACGCAAACATAATCAGGGAGAAAATCCGTTTTGAAAATACGTTTTTGGTCAAACGTAATTGAGAATGCATTTTAGTTTGGGGTTAACATAATTTTTAGGAGACAGGGTTCCAGTCCGTGAGGTTCTGGCTAACAGCTGTCTGAAGCCCTCTTATTTACGTCGTCACCTGAACACCAAGCATGACAAAACAAAACAGCCCAAAACAACTGCAGTCTCATTCATGTGTTGGGTCTATAAAAAACGCACTACGGGCTTCATATCTGGTCACAGAATAGCAAGAAAGGGGCTACCTCACACAATCGCCGAAGACGTGTGCTTGCCAGCTGCCAAAGAGATGGTGGAATGTATGATTGGAGAGAGAGAAGCAAACAAGTTGGACATGATCCCGGTGTCCAACAACACTGTCGCGCCGCATCGATGCTTTGTCCGAAGACATCCTGGCTACATTAGTCGGTCGCGTGAAGAAGAGTGAGTTTTACTCTCTGCAAGTAGACGAGTCTACAGATGTGGCCAATCTGGCCAATCTTCTGGTGTACGTCCGTTACCTTTTCGAAGGCACGGTGCAGGAAGTTTTTTTTGTCTTTTTTGTGTTTTTTATCTTGTAAACAAACGCCACGCGCGAGCAAACTGTTCTCTCATTGGTCTGATTTTTATGCGGCTATAAATAGGCTCTGTTGCTTTTTTTTTAAGGTGTGGGGGATTGGGGGTGCGTGAACCCGGTCGGGATGTAGAAGGGGGTGCGTGGCCTAAAAAGTTTGGGAACCGCTGGTTTAGAGGATCCATGCACGCCCCTCTTTGTCTCCTTGTCTTCTTGTATATGTAGACTAGTAGGGAACAGAGGATCAGGCAGAAACCTTTGCAGCAAATGTTTTGTAGAGTTTATCTTGAATAAATACATTCACTAAGACAACAGAGTCTGACCTGAGAGTGTTTTTATTCTTCACTCCACTTTGTGGATCTGGTTGAACCTGTTGGGGCGGGACAACTTACCCACGTATCAGTCTGAAGCTGCATTCTGAATTATTTACTTTTTCTTTTTACTTTTAGGACAAACTGCAGCTTCCTTACAAACTACATACTGATGCATGCAGTCTGCAGTCAACTGGGACATACTGCTTCCTCATTACATGGCACATTGAACTTTGACCTTCTTGTTCATGTACCTGCTGTGCAAAGGATTGTCGGTCAGAATAGCCAGGAAAGCATGCTGGCTTGCATACTGCAACATTTGACCAAATGTAGAACACAAACTGTAATTCCTGCAGCAAACATCCCCAAGGTGGATACAGCACGACCACTGTCAACAACAACCTGCAGGGAAGACAAGATATCCTCAAGAGAGCAGGAAGGAGGAGCGAGGCCCTTCATCTGGCACCAGTCCACAAACGAGTCAAGTAATCCCTCTAACAGGAGGAGACATGTGCATTCTGATACGTGTAGACAACAGGGACCAGGAGACCCAGGTCGCTCAGTCTCACCCTTAATCCAGGCCATGAGGTGCTGACCCAGAATGGAGTGCTCTCCTTGATGCAGAGCAGTGGGCAGGTCTAGTAACCATTAGGACCACTCGTGATGCAACATGGACAGGTGCTGCTTTGAACCCTGTTGAAGTGTACACTTGTAAAGGGGGACACTGGGTGTTTTCTCTATTAGTGAATGAGAGACTCAAGGTGATGATCTTCCCACATCAGAACAGACACTGCTGCCCTGTGCAGGGCCGGGGATCTGACAACCTCCTGTCTGTTGAGGTTCACCTCCACAGTGGTGTTGTCCCACCTCAACATGACATGCTTCCCCCTCAGTTGTGGGGTGAAATGGTTCAGCAGCTTCTGAAAAGCAACAAGCTCCAGCAGGTTGATGTGACGGGCGGAGCCCGGCAACGTGCCTCCTACTCCCACTCGTCCATGAAAACCTGGACGTGATGGAGGACTCACACCAGTCTTACACTACAATCACAATACAACAAAACATTAACAAGGATTTAAGTTAAACCTAATCAAAAGTCAAATTAAAGGGCAGGTCTTTAGTTTATTTTTAAAACTTCAAAGGGAGTTTTCTGTTCTAAGATCCAAGGGGAGAGAGTTCCACAGTTTAGTGCCATAAAAACAGAAAGAACCTCACTAGAACTATTGTGGCAGTTCAGGACCTTCTAAAAGAACGGCAGTGGAAGATCTCGTTCTTGTTGGGACGTAAAAAATAAAAGGCAGTCTCTGTTAAATGAAGGTGTTTGATCATGTGAGTCTTTGTAGATAAGTACAAGGACTTTAAAATCAACTGTAAGAGACACAGGGGAGCAGTGTAGTGATGCGAGCAGAGCGCTGCTGTGATCTCTGTTTCTATGGGTCACAATCCTGACTGCAGCGATCTGAATCAACTGTCATTTTCTTAAAGATTTCTAGACCAGTAAAAAGAAAGTTATATCATCTTAGTGGTTTACAATAAAACATAATTTTTTCTTTCTGTCAAGGACGAGTTAAACCAGTCGAGCTCTGCTGCAGAGCGACCTACCAATCCCTCAAGTCCACTGATTCAAATGTCTTGATCAATAGAATCAAATGCAGCGCTCAGGTCTAATAAAAAGAGGACAGACACATTTTTTTAATCAGAAGAAACTCTCATGTCATTTACGACCTTAAATAAAGCGGTTTCAGTGCTATGGTTGGTCCGATAGCCAGACTGGAGTTTATCTAATATATCATAATTATTTAGACGATCATGTAGCTGCTCAAATACAATCTTCTGATGAAGTATACTCTGAGGAAGATTTGAGATCGGCCTGTAGTTATCAAGGTCTCTAATGTCCCAACCTGATCTCAGTACATCGTATAAATAGCTCATCATTACCAACATGTCCACCTGTCATCAGAACGAATGTTAGGCTTTAACATTGCAGTCAGCAGAGACACGGAGTACAAATGACACAAAGCATGAAAGGCATTTTTAATGCAACATGACATGTTCATGCAGCGTCGGAAATACACGAGGGCAAAGGGCAAAACTGCCCCTATGAAATATAATTTTGCCCCTGATATCACTATGCAAAATATGCCCCCATAATTTCCTCTGATAATAGTGATAATTTAATGAACTTGTCAAAAACATCGTAGCCTATATGACCCGGTCCAGTTGCCATAGAACGTTCTCAACAAATAAATAAATGGAGCGCTTCTTAATCAGACCTGTGACTGCGAGACTGCGGTCAACTCAGCAGACACTTAAATGTTAGTGCACCTATATGCTGAAATTCACGGTAAACGCATTCAAACGGCACAGATCGGGAGCGAAGATTTTGAAAGTTAGCGGAAAGATTAACGTGAGACAACATCCGGTTTCTTCAGACGAACATCCGGTTTTCAGAATAAGAATAGAATAGAATAGAATAGTACTTTATTCATCCCCAAGGGGAAATTTGTCTGTGGCAGCAGCAAACAGGGTTACACAATAAAATAAAAATATTAAGTGTGGAAAATGCACAATATATACAATGTAATAAAATAAAATAACCGAGCAGGACCTATTAGATTTAAGAAGATAAAGTAATAAAAATGCACAGTATATACACTAAGTAGAATCATATTAAATTAACTAAGTATGAAAAAATAATCAAAACAGTAGTGCACAAGATCACCAGCAGCAGCAACAACAGTGTAGCATTGTTACAGTCTTGTGTTTGATTTGGCCAGAGGTGATTTATTATAGAGTCTAATAGCAGAGGGCAGGAATGTTCTCCTGTATCTGTCCTTGTGACAGCGGAGCTGGATCAGTCTGTTGGAGAAAGTGCTCCGCTGTCCCTGCAGTAGGTGGTGGAGAGGGTGGTCCGGGTTATCCAATATGGACAATAGTTTCTTCAGTGTCCTCCTCTCCACCACCCCTTCCAGATTGTCTTGTTTGCAGCCAATGATGGAGCCGGCCTTCTTAATCAGTTTGTTAAGTCTGTTGGTGTCTCCGGCTCCAATGCTGCTCCCCCAGCAGACTACGGAGAAGTACAGTGCACTGGCCACAACAGACTGGTAGAACATCTCCAGCATCTTGCTGCACACGTTGAAGGATCGAAGTTTCCTCAAGAAAAAGAGTCGACTCATCAGAACAAGATGCCAACAAAGTATACATATTGCATACTGGAAATTAGATTAAATGAATTATATTCACATTAAGTATAAAACATGCTACCTGCATCTCGTGAGTTAAAGGGAAAATACACCTAAATTGTGCGTAAAGTGTCTTTATTCTTTGATTTGAGGGTTGCTGGTAATGAATAATACCTGACTGACAGTCAATTAAGATATTTTACTAAGCAAAAACTCTGTACTGAATTTGTACCTTCAAATGGCACATTTTTAAAAATTTTAAGATGCTATAAAAACGTTTTTCTCAAAAATTCCACACAATGACTAATGCATATATGTTCAGGACAAAAATGGGTAATATCACAATATTTGAGGTGCTACAAAAATATGTTTATGAATAATTCCATACAATGACTGATGTATATGTAATCAAGGCATCGTTGACTTAATAATTATTAATAGTTGTTTAAAAAATGTAATAATAACAATAAATAACCACAAATAAATAAGAATAAATTGAATATGATTGTCTGATTTATGTTTGTTTTTTGTTCAAAAAATCTAAGAAAACACTTTGAATCTGTAGACTACTGCCTAATAGTCTTATTATTACCATTTGATGACAATTGCTCATATACTGTAAGCCTAAATAAGTATATTTATTATTTTGAACAAAGGTTAAATGTTATTTCACAAGTTTCAAAAAGTGCCCCCAATTTTTCTTTAAATGCCCCTGGATTTCAGTCAGTGGGGGCAAAAATTGCCCCGTAAAAAATATGTAAATTTCCAACCCTGTGTTCATGTCATTTATACGTCATTTGATGAAAACAGGCTTCTGAAAGCTGCAGAGATACGTTGATTCTTCTTCTTGTGTTGTGAGAGAGGCTCAGGAAACTGGAAGCTTTTCATTTAAAAAACTGAAACACACCAAACTGTTGGAGTTCAGCTTTCACTGCTTTCATTGTGTTGGACGCTGATGGACAGTTATATTTTATTTTCATTTCTACAGTATTTTATTTATTTGTATCTGTGCAAATGACTCTGTATTGGTCCATAGAACACAGGTTCATAACAAACAGGCTCAAACCCAAAAATTTGAAGAAATAATCATAACATACCCATATACAGAACATTTTATTCAGACAGATATTTGCCACAAATTGTGTTTCAGAACTAAATTTCAGATTAACTTTTACTGAGTAGAATTCTTAAGCTTCAAAGTTAACCAAATATCAGTAAATATATATTTGATATATAATGTCATCAAAAATGAAACACAAATGTTAGAGATAACATCGTATTTTGTTTTCATTTGATTGGAGTCTTACATTAATATACAGTGTTTGTTTTATCATTTCTGAATCTGGATGAAGCCCAACTCTCTGTATTTCAAGCCCCCCCCCCCCCCCCCCCCACCCTGCTATAAGAGAACACATGTCCCTTATAGCAGCGCCCACCCCAAATGCTCTCATTGGTCTCATTGGTGATGACGCCAATCCTGATCAACATTCTACCCCTCCTGTGACCCATGGTCTGTCTGTATGTGTATTCAGAGCCAGTGAGCAACGGACTTTCAAAATAATAATAATAAAAAAACATGCGATAAAATAATTGTCGGCATTAATTAATTAATGCGTTTAATAACGCGTTAACTTGCCCAGCACTATATATATGTCAGTGGTGGACCGTCAGGGCCAGCAAGGCCTTCTCTGTTGGCCTAAACAGAATCACAAAGTTATAGCTATTTTATAATTTAATAGTTTTTCTTAAATACACTACATGTATTATAATTTATAAAAATATTTTCCCCATTCTCTTATTTTCTCATTGCACAGCTCCTGTCTTCCTCAGTTGCTCTGCTTCCAGTGCAGCTTGTTTTAAGTAGAGCTTTTATCCAATCAGATTTCACCTCTGTGTCTCTAGGTAAGAAGAGAGGCAGAGGCCTGCAGACTCACAAGTGAATCCCTTTGCAGTTTAAGTGAATGGGGGCGATATTGTTGATTGTCATAGTCTTCAACCAATCAGATCTTTAGTTTGACATATTGGGCGTATTCTTTGACGTGCCAGAGCCTGCTAGCTGGCCTACAAGTACGTGATTGGTCAGTGGGCTAGCGTGACATGTTGGGCGGTGACAATCCCAATATCTGCTGTCTCTGTCGATCAATACTCGCAATGATTAAAGCTCTCTAAATCAATACTCACAGTGATTAAAGCTCTCTAAATCAATACTCGCAATGATTAAATCTCTCTAAATCAATACTTACGATGATTAAAGCTCT